GGCACCGAGTGCTTGGAGCGAATTTTTAAATATGATACTTGGAGAAAGTGAAGACTTGCAAATTTATGGCAAAGCGAGTTTAAAAAATTGGCAGCAAGAGACCAAAGATGCCACCCACCTGCAAATCACTCAGTGTATAGAGCAGACGTGCCGCTTCAAAATAGAGTAAAAACCATGTAGAGATCGGGCACCGAGTGCCTACAGCAAAGTTTTAAAAATGATACTTGGAGGAAGTGAAGACTTGCAAATTTATGGCAAAGCGAGTTTAAAAAATTCGGAGCTAGAGATTAAAGATGCCACCCGCCTGCAAATCACTCGGTGTATAGAGCAGACGTTCCGATTTAACATAGAGCAAAAACCATGAAGAGAGCGGGCACCGAGTGCTTGGAGCGAATTTTTAAAAATTATACTTGGAGAAGATGAAGACGTGCCAATTTATGGCAAAGCGAGTTTAAAAAATTCGGAGCTAGAGACCAAAGATACCACCCACCCGCAAATCACTCGCTGTATAGAGCAGATGTTCCTCTTTAAAATAGAGCAAAAACCATCTAGAGATCGGGCACCGAGTGCTTGGAGCGAATTTTTAAAGATGATACTTGGAGAAACTGAAGGCTTGCAAATTTATGTCAAAGTGAATTTAAAAAATCCGGAGCGAGAGATAAAAAGTGCCCTCCACCCGCAAATCACTCAGTATATCGACCAAATGTTGCTCTTCAAAACCCTGTAAAACTTTCCTCCTCAGCGGTCCCCGTGCACTCTTAAAGTGCTCTTGAAAACAGAGCTTCAAGAAAATTGCATTTTTCCTTTTGCATACTGAGTACTTATAAAACGTTGCCGGCAACTGATCAAACCTGCCACCGAAGGCAAAATCACTCAGTACATAAACCACACTTTTCCCTATAAACGTGTGCCAAAACATCCTAAATCTTTAACCCCGGACTGCTTGTTGTTGAAGCTGTTGAAAGCGAGGTATCAAAATTCGGGCAATTTTCCTGCTACTGGCAACGTGGATGGAAAGGTTCGCCTACTCAAAACCGAAAATCCCACCAAACTCAAAACTGGGAGGTGTCATAGAGGACGCTTGCCTCCACAAAATGTGCATAAAACCATCTCCGCAGAAGCCTCCTTTTTGCAGGAATTGGGAAATTGAGGCCAACATTGAACAAAAAGCTCCTCGCTGATGTTGGCTTGAGTCAGTGAGGAAGCCTCAAAAGAACCTCACTGCCATCTAATTCGGACTCAATTGGCACGTCACAAATGCCATCAACACCTGCAGCTTAATCACGAATATTGCGGTCAATCACTGATTCATGCTTGATAGAAAAAATCAATTTAACATGCAGTAACGAGCCTAAATGAGTGACCAAACACAAGAACCTGACGCGTACGTGTTTTTACTCATCGTTCCCACCCAACTCCCTGGTCAATTTCCCATTCAAACCTCGATTAATCACGAGAAAAAACCTTTAAACAAAACACACTGACTCCTACTACCTTTCAACCAGCCCGCGCAGTGTTAAAGTCCATAAGCTTCAGATCAGGCTTGCGGTGCGTCCAAGAAGTTTATCGATACGACGGTTAAGTGCGCGCTTTTTGAATTTTTTTCTGTGAGTTTTCCAGGAGTTTTACCAAAATGGGTGTCGGGGTGCAGATGATGAAAACTGTGCTGTTTATTTTTAATATTTTCCTGACGGTAAGTTGGGCAGTTTTGCGCGAAAAAACTCAGTTGGGTCAAGGCCATGCATAGATGGTTTTTCTCTGCTTGAAAGCCTGTTTATTGGCCATAAATGCGGCCATTTATGGGCTGGTGAATGGGTCGTTTACTGGCATTATTTCCTGTTTTGGTGGCCTCATGAGTGACGATAAGTTTCGTTTTTTTTGGGCAAAGGGTTGGGCCTGGATGCCCAAAACTCTGGATATGCGCTGCAGCGTTTTAAATTGAAGCCTAATAATTCTTTAAAGGTTGGCAAAACCACTTGCGGTTGTGTGAAAGCTACTAGAAAAATCCCTCAATGTTCTAGAAAGTTGGGGATTTTATTGAGTATTATTATCTTGCAACTCAAGTTCAAAAATTCCTGGAAAATCCTGGAATTTGGGGATTTTAGAGCAATTTTCCGCAACTGCGCGCACAAGTATTTTCTCGGTTGAAGAAAAAAGGGGATTTGAAAAAAAATTTTGAAGAAAGTTTTCGTTGAGGAATTTTTCAAAAGTACGGTTTGGCAAAAACACTTGATGTTTCTGGTTGTTAGTGAAAATTGCCAGAAAATTTCCTAAAACGCATGGAAAAATATCTGGTTTAGTCTGGATGAATTTTTTTAAATCGGGTTTTCACGCTTTAAGTGCTCTTGCAATTTACTTTCAAAAATTCCTAGAAAATCCTTGAATCTCGGGATTTTAGAGAAATTTTCAACAAGTACGGACACAAACATTTTCTTTCTACTGAAGCGAAAAGTGGATTTGAAAAAGATTGCTTTTCCGTTGGGGAATTTTTCAAAAACAGAAGAGCAATTTCTAGAAATTTTAATAAATTTCCTAGAATATAGGGAATTCAAGAATTGAAAGCTCAGACTGTGGTCTACTTTATAAAGGCAAAAGCAAATGAGTGCAAACTTTGGTTTTTTCTAGATGATTTTCTGAAAAAAACGTGTTTTTAAACGTTAAAGAAACAGTTTCTAGAAAAAAGAGCCAAAAACAAGTGAAAGCAAACTTTGACTCCGTTTGATTGAATTTAAATCCGGTTTGCAAGCATCGAGTGCTTTTGCTATGAAAGTTCAAGAATTCCTAGAAAATCCTGGAATCTTGGGATTTTAGAGCAATTTTCCGCAACTGCGCGCACAAATATTTTCTCGGTTGAAGAAAAAAGTGGATTTGAAAAAAAAATTCGAAAAAAAGTTTTCGTTGAGGAATTTTTCAAAAGAATGGTTTGGCAAAAACACTTGATGTTTCTGGTTGTTGGTGAAAATTGCTAGAAAATTTCGTAAAAACAGAGACAAAATTTTGATTTAGTCCGGATGATTTTCTTTAAATCGGGTTTTCAGGCTTTGAGTGCTCTTGCAATTTACTTTCAAAAATTCCTAGAAAATCTTGGAATATCGGGATTTTAGAGCAGTTTTCAACAAGTACGGACCCAAATATTTTCTTTCTACTGAAGCAAAATTTGATTTGAAAAAGTTTGCTTTTCCGTTGGGAAATTTTTCAAAAGCAGAATTTGGAAAAATCGTTGATAAAAATTTCTAGA